TTGTTGTAGACAATCCCGAGAACTGTTTCCATCAGCAAAACTGAAAGTCTGTTCCCACGAACACTGACTCCCCGCCTCCCGCTCCCCCAGCTCCTGGTGACCAGCGTGGTACTTTCCGTCCCTGTGAAGTTGAATGTGACACACTTAGGCACCTTATATGAGTAGAATCATCCGGTTTTTGTCCATCTGTGACTGGCCTGTTTCACGCAGCAAAATGTCCTCAAGGTTCATCCACGTCGTAGCATGTGTAGCAGGATTTCCTTCCTTTTTAAGGCTGAGTCGTGTTCCATTGTGTGGAAATGCCCCATTTTGGTTGTCCGTTCCTCCACTGACGGACACTTCGGTTACTTCCACCTCTTGGTTACTGTGAACCGAGCTGCCGTGAACATGGGCGTGCAGGACTTCTGGTTCTCCGGTCTGTCTAGTTCCATTGCTGCAAGACTTGTAGGCCTGCTGGGGCGTCTGTCTGGGGTATTGGTCCATCTGTCTGTCAGTTCTAGGAACCGGGAAAGGCCCCCATCTGGCCAGCTCTTCCTGCAAACCTGGGGCTTCCCTCTAGAGCCCGTGTCTGTGCGTTGGTCTGGTTAGGGAGGGCATCCCCTGTCCCCATGCACAGATGAGGACGCAGGAACAGGTAGCTGAAGGGACCTGCCCCAGGCTCCCCTCTGGGCAGTGGCGGGGCAGGCGTTGGCCTGCACGGCTGTCGTGGGGAGCTTGCCCTCTGCCCTTATCAGATGCTGGAGTGCGTGGTCGGCGTCAGTGGGTGAGCGCACGCGTGGATCTGAGCCATCTGTGAGCTGTGCAGGGGCTGTCCTGTTTGCATCTAGGGTCCCGGGTGCCTACAAGGCCCTGTCGTGGCCAGCCAGCCGCCTTTCCTCCCACTGGGACTGCAGGGCCTGCAGAGCCCACGGATCACGTGGGCCCCGCAGATAAGTTCCCTGCGTCCCTGGAAAAGTCTGCTGACCCCTGAGTTAGTCCTGCACAAGCGTTTTTCCCATTTTCAGCTTCATTTCGCCCAAAGTACAAGGCATTCATTTGCAGACAGGCCCCAACTGAGCCAGTTAACGCTCCTTCTAAATGGACCCCTCCTCTGTGTTCCCACAACACCATGGAAGAGATCAGGACGTCTGCAGCTGGGAGACACCAGCGTTCCTCCTGAGAGGTGCACCCTGAGAAATTAGAGCAGCCCAAGGCCCTGAGTTCTGGGGGCACGCCTCGTTTCGGAAGGCCTGCCGCCCGCACGCGTGTATACGTGCATGTGTATTTGTGTGTGCATGTGTACAGGCGTGTGCCCACATGGCCCTCTCCTCAGCACCTTCTGCTCCCCTCCTGCCCCCTCTGCTAGCCTGGCCCCCCAGGTTCCAGCCGAGGTCCCCTGCCAGGGTCTGAGTCCATCGTCCTGGCAACCCCCTCTTAAGGTGCAAAGCTATTTTCTCCCTCTCCCTGTCCCCTTCCCCTCTTTACCTTCTGTCCCCAAATCTCCACCACGAGGGAAGACGCTACCACTAGGGACTTAGGGAAACAGCGCCTGCTACGGGGTGTCCCAGCTCCCATCAGGAGCACCTGGACCCTGCCTGACACCTGCCAGGTCTTCCTGAAGCCTGGATCTTCGAAGAGCCAGTTACACTGGGCACAGAATGCCCTTAAATCATCTGGGTGGGGGGCGGAGGGAATAAAAGTTAATCCTTAATACCGAAAGTTAAGCAGAGCCTTCACAGCACAGGATGGGTGCTCCCCTTACTGGAAAATGGGTGGTGGGGTCAGCCCGCTTCTTTTTCTCCACCCTGAGTCCGGTCTGGCCCAGGTGCCTGGGGTCCAGGACTGTGGCCCACTCTGCTGTAGGAGTGGCCTTGGGCTGTGACATCAGCCTGCATCTGTGTCTCCTTCTAGAAGAGAGGGGTCCTGAGGACTGGGAGGGACCTCGAGGGCTTCAGGCACCACACTGGGATTTACACACACATACACACAAAGTGGATCTGGAAAGACCACAAAACAGATGACAGGTGGGAGTCCTGCAGGGGTGCCAGGGCCAGCCTGGGGTCAGTGGCCTTTCAGCCTATCTCAGCCTTCAAAAGATGCCAGGCCAGTGCCGAGGGAGAGCACAGGCAGCTGGGCTGGAGGGGTCCTGTCTGGGGGTGGAGAGTCAGCCCCTAGCCAGTGGAGCAGCCCTGCCAGGGCTGGGATGGGAAGGGGCTATGACCCAGGTAGGGGCCCCAGGCGGCGTTCATCACAGGGCATGGAGGAGGCCTCGCAGCGTTGAGCCTCGCGGTGGGAAGGGAGGAACACCAAGTCTGGGGGAGGCTGCCCGTCCTGCCTGCACCTGCGCCTCCTGCGGGCAGGCCGACCTTGACCTTGTAGGATGCTGACCAGAATCATGCGAGGACCCTCGAAAGCCCTAAACTCTCCCGGTGGCATTTTTGGGTTGAGGAAACCGTACAGACCAAGGCCTCCGTGGGTACAACGAGGCTGTCAGGTGATGCGGGGTGTCCCCCGGGCACTCGGGGGACAGGGTCCCGCCAGCCTGGGCCTCTCCTCCCACCAGACTCTGGGCTCGGCCTTCCTCATCCTCAAACACGTCTGGTACAGGGCAGCCTCCAGGCAGGACGGCTGGGATACTGCTGCAAGGGGCCCAGGGTAGAGGTGCCCGGCGGAGGTGGACAGGGGAGACCTCCAGTGCGGGTGTGGTTGTTATCTGGCAGCCTTGGCCCCAGGGACGCTGCCGTCTGCCCTCGGCTGGGGGTGGATGAGAGGCCCGGCGCCCTGCCTGTTCCCTCCCGCCCCAGCCTCTCTTGCTGCAGTGCTTTCATCCCACCCTCCTCCCGTGGCTCCCACAGGGCCCCGGGGAACCCCCGGGTGCAGCTCCGCCCCCCACCCTGGCTCTCCATGGGCCCTGGGGCTGCTCGCCCTCCCTGCTGTCTGCATGGACCTCACCTTCTGACACCCAATCTTTAGTGGATCTCACACACACGGGGGCTGCATCATCTCTTTCCATTTGTTGGCTGGTGAAATTACCACCTCGCCGTGACGGGGGAGCAGTGACCGTCTTCACTGAAAAGAGGAGCAGAGTGGCTGCTGGCGGATCTGCCAGAATATGGGCTTTACCTGCACACCTCCCGGCCTCCACACCCCTGACCCAGGAACACAGGCTCCGGGTGGCTGGGGCGGGGTGCGGGGGCAGATTCCAACCAGCGAGGGCGGTGGGGGGGGGGCGGGGGGGGCGCCCCCCCCCCTGCCGATGCGGGGGACACGGGTTCGTGCCCCGGTCCGGGAAGATCCCACGTGCCGCG